TTTGAGGATCATTTTCAAATCTTCAAGGTAAATGTGGGTAAATGCTCCACCCTGAATACGTAGACAGAATAGCAGAAAAACTATTAGCTAGACACTACCCACTGTTCACTCATCATCAGCTCTCCAAGGTTATGGGAATAGCTATCTTCTCATGGGCAATTTTTTTATTCCCCCAACGTGTATACTTCATTCTACCAGAGCAAAAGTTCTTAACATTTTTGTGTCATGGACTCCTTTGGCAAGCTAATGAAACCTATAGATCCCTTCTCAGAACAAAAAATCTGCCACCCACATTTGTAATTAGGGTAAATGCTATATTTTATTTGAAAGATAGTGAAAATAAAGATGTAATTTTCCCCCCATCTAAGTTCATGGACCCCATGAAATCTATCCATGGACCCCAAACTAAGAACCCTTGTCTTAGAGACAGAGAACTCAGAAGACAAATTGGAACAATGGCCTCAATCTGATATGATTTAGTAGAAATAAATGTAAAGTTCTAACTTGGGCTCAAAAATTCAATTGCCCCAGGGCAGTTAGTCAGGAGGACATGAGTTCAAATCCGGCCTCAGACTAAACACTTGAAACTTACTAGCTGTGTGACCCTGGGCAAATCACTTAACCCCAGTTGCCTAAAAAAAAAACCAAAAACCAAAAACCAAAAAACAAAAATTAAATTGCCCCCAAACAGACTGGAGAATGGTTCATGTGAAAAAGACCTAGAAGATTTAGTGGATTCAATATGTTAACAGTATGACATGGAAGCCAAAAGGGCAAATGCAAGCTGAAGCTACATTGATAGAAGTATAGAGAAGAGAATGAGTAAGTGGGTAGTCCTAATGTTCACTGTCCTTCTCATATCCCAGGCAAAATATTGTGTTCAGTTTTAAGTGCCACAATTTAGCAAGGACATTGATAAGCTGGGGTGCATCCATTTGGAGGCAACCAAAATGAGGAGGAGCCTGGAAATCATGAAAAGCATAGTCTTAAGAAGTTCATCTCCATCCTCTCTCAGAGTCACAGAACCTCTGAGTTGGAAAAGATCTCTGAGGGTATATAATCCGATCTCTT